GAGAGAGAGAGAGAGAGAGAGAGAGAGAGAGAGAGAGAGAGAGAGCAACTATTACCAGTCAATTGACCACAGGTACAAAACCAGGCCCAGCCAAAAAGCATTCATACTTTGTGAGAGAAGCGTATACTAGCGGGGGAGGGGGAAGGTGAGGAGAGAAGGGTGGGCGGAGGGAACGAAAAAATGATGCCTTGTGAAGTAGTCATCTTCAAGTTATCCTAGTGCAAGGAACCATGTGGATTTTGCGCCTTCAGCCTGAGTCCCGGGATAGCAGCCACAGAAGTCCCACGGTCCAATGCCCTCTGCATCATATAGCCAATCCGATAGGCCCCTTAGGACGAAACGCCGCTGGAGGCCGATTGAAATTTCCAGTAGGTCGTATAGGGAGTCGGGTCCTACATCCTTTCCCCGAATACAACGTACGGTCATTATAGCTGTATTTGGGGTTTCTTTCAGACTAAATACAGCTATAATGACCGTACGGCGTATGTTGTATTCGGGGGAACAAGGTGGCAGTAGCGTTCCCAAGTGAAGTCTGGAGAAATCCAGTGCCAACAACACATTTGTCGCCGACAGCCCAGGGACTGTTCTTTTTTTTTTTTTTTTTTTTTTCCAGGGACTGTTTTACCAGTCCAAAGCAAACCAAGATAAGTCTCTGAGACCAGAGGCCCAGGGGCCCTCCGCTGGCAAAGGCCCTGGTTACACTACTCGCCGCCAAGATTTCGAATGCATCTGGACAAAATAATGTCCACATGCAATCAAAATGTTGGCGGATGGCGAGTAGTGAGACGAGGCCCAAAGTCGGCGAAAGACACGACATTTTTTTGCTGTGAAACTCGCTGGGCCTGGTGAAGCTGCTGTGAAACATATATCTCTTTCGACAAGGAAAAGTCGGACCCGACGGGGCAAAGCGGGCATAATAGCCCAGTTGGTACCCCCTGGGACTGTTGAAATACAGACCCCCAAGTTCGAATCCACATACCAATCAGATGACCTACCGGGCCGAGGTCCCACTAGCAAACAGGATAGGATCGAGCTCCTGAATCGGGACGTGTTTTATGCAGAGATGCAGAAAAGCGGTTCAATCTCGATTTCCTGCACGTCTCCATAACCTCGTCCAAAGAAGAAAGCCTTCGGCCTTGGTGCAGCTGTCGTACCAGAGAAGCAAGCTTGCATCTCGATGAGCTGCTTTTCCCTTCTGCTATGCATATGCCATTCATTGGCTGAACGTCGTTCTTGTCTCCAAAAATAGGCAATCGATGTGTCCTTCACATGCATCCACACAATGGCAAGCTCAAGCTCATGTATCATGGGACGCTGGACCCGGTTGGCAGCAGTGTGCTGCTCCCCACCAGTAGATTGGAGCATCCAAAAAAAAAAAAAAAGAAGAAGAAGAAGAAGATGTTTTCAAGTCTTGTCTACGGGGCTCGCCGCACCAGTCTAGGGGGCTCGCCGCACCACTCACCAAATGTGAAAAAGACAAAAAATATGGCGCATGTACCTTTCCATGTTCTAGCGGAATATTCATTCTCATTTGCACATTTGGTGAGTGGTGCGGCCAGGCCCTACATCTTCTCCTAACGCATGCATGGCACATCCCCCTTTCCATGTTCTAGCCGAAAATTCATTCTCATTTTGACGATCGTTCTTGAGAACGAGTCACAGTGCTCACCGTGACCTCTCTGCGGCGCTCAACTTGACAGAATTGCGCCCCCCSCSCCCCCCCCCCAACCAAAAARAAAAARAAAAAAAAARAAAAARAAAAAAAAAAAAAAAAAAGAGACTCTTCGACAGCTACGCAGTCAGGCTGCGCGACCTGATTGACTTCGACACTCTCCTTGCACACTCTCATTGCTTGATGGGCTTGACACCATCACCTTCTCTGGTGGTGGTCGTGGTCTCATTCGATGTGAAATCATGGCTATACATTTACAGACAGACCCATCGTGAGCAGACCTGCACCCACCCTGAAGCTCATGCGTAATCAGACCCATCGTGCAGCCACTTGTACCTTCTCAGGGATCTTTTTGGCAGCTTTGTTGACGTCAACAACTCGACTTGCCGTACGACTGCTATGCATTTGGAAAAATGTGCGAGTCGCTGAACGTGAACGGTGATCTGACTGGCTTGACACACAGACGGTAAGCGCCTTCGCTTGGGAGTGCTTGATCTGATTGCTATCCGAGATAAGCCTTGCGCTTTTCTCGAACCAGGTGATCTACCAGGTTATCGAAAAGAAGAAGAAGAAGCAGAAGCAGAAGCAGAAGCAGAAGAAGCAGAAACAGCAGCAGAAGAAGAAGAAGAAAAAGAAGACGAAGAAGAGCAGAAGGCAGGGCAAAGATTATCACTTGATGGAAGAGTCCCTGAGAATCAATGAAGCTTGGAACGAAAGGTCGGGCAACATTCTTGCCAAGTATCTGCTGGACGGGGGCTAGAAAGTTGATCCACTAGAAAGTTGATCCACTAGAAAGTTGAGTAAGTCCTGTTACTCTCTCGCCGTGGAGTCAGACCCCTAGTAGTCACGAGTCACTGTGCTCTCCCTCTTTTAAAAAAATAATAATAATAAATAATAAATAATCATAAAAACACTAACTTAAAGCTTAATTGTTCTCTCACTTGCACCTTTCACTATGATCTACCTACTACTACTCCTAAGCCTATGTACAGGGGACCCCTGCAAGCGATTGCTACATCTGACAATTAAAGGGGATGCATATTGTCCCCCCGCCGTAATCGGCAGTGGTTAGGGAGTAGGGTGGAGCCGCCGGTTGAAGGGGGGGGGGGGTGCGGTGCTGCGGCTAACGCAAAGACCGACCTTTTTGCCAGTAGCTGCGCCTCCCATCTACTTACCCCAACCCCCAACCGAATAACAGCAGTGTCTAAGGCCAACACTCTCCCACACACCACACACAACCCACCCACCCTCACACCCACACCCGTGTGTTGGTCATAGACCCTTCATAGACCCTACTAATACCGATGAGGGGTATCCAGCGGACTATCACAGTCGGTCGGCAGTACTACTGCCGTAGCGCTGAGCTGGGATCAGATGCTTTCTGTCATGTCTACAAAAAGGAGGGGGTGGGGGGGAAGGCAAGGTGAAAAGACGAGATTTTTTTTTTTTTTTTTTTTTTTTTTTTTTTTCCTCGAGTATCTGCATTCGCCCCAGATCTCACATCTAATTCCCAACCGGCTGAATGGTAAAAAGAATTTTAGGACCTCGCTCCACTACACTCGACATGCAGAAAAGACAAAAATCATGGCGGTGAATCTTGCCATGTTCTAGCGGAAGATTCACTCCCGTTTTGCACACGTCGAGAGTAGTGGAGCCAGCGCCATATATAGATAGAAAAGGCAAAACGTCAGGTTCATCCCATGACATGCCATGCCATTCGACGCACCAATCTTTGGTAGAGGTTTTTACCCACCCGGCTAGCCTTCTGATTTCTTACGCTTTGTTTTTGCCTTTTTTTCACCTTGCTCATTACTATTCAGGTATTAAGCTGAACAGAAAACGTTGTGATTGAAAAAAAAAAAAAAAGGAAGCGCTGTGATCAACAGGGCAGCGGTCTGGATGTGGCCATTTCTGGCCCTAGATAATCCGTCCCAACGCCTGCCTGCACCAAAGCTGGGTAATTGTCCAAGCATCCTCATTTCCTTTTTGGCAATAAAACGATCTCTCTTTTCTTGAAAAAAAAAAAAAAAAAAAAACAAGAAAGCGTTGTTATTCCTTTCTCGGCCCCTTTGGACACACTACACTTCATCGTACCCCAAAAGACCAGAGGACAGCAATTCCAGCGCTTTTTGAGTCCTTCGGGGGGACATCCATTAAAATTGGAACGATACAGAGAAGAAGAAGAAGATTAGCATGGCCCCTGCGCAAGGAAGGATGACACGCATAAATCGGAGAAATGAAAAAAAAAAAAAAAAAAAAAAAACGCGCTTTTCTACCCCTTACCCACCTTATTCCTCCTCCTCACTCTCTTTGAACCGGCCGATTCCGCCGTCTTCTCCCCGCTGGCAGGTCATCCTCCTCCTCCTCCTCCTCCTCCTCGTCGTACTCATCCGCATAACCACCCACGTCATCCCCATTCTCCTCCCATCTTTCATCCTCCTCCGCTGGCCCCAATTCCCTCCTCCTCTGTGCTCTCCTCCACGCCCGAGTATCCATACCTGACTCCTGCATCCACCTCGCCTCCTTCGCCTCCCTCTGCAGTTCCCTCTTCAACCCCTCCCTCAAAGCGAACGCAGACAGCGCCGCCATCGCTCCTGTCCCGACGGCCACCACCGTCGCTTGAAGAGCCGATATCCAAAACGTGTCCTCAGTAAGAGCACGTGTTGTCGTCAACGACGCCGGCCCCCGGCGTCGCGACTGGCCAGCCTGGAGCAAGAGAGGTTTATTCGCCGAAATTTCGGCGAAGCTTCGCCGCACAGGCTTGTCGACACCACCATTACCACTGTGATGATTGCCATCACCGTGACGACTCCTGCACACCGATACCCTCACCCCGGTCGATTGATGCCGTCTCGGGCGACGCATCGTCGATGCAAAGGACAACTCGCTGCTACCTAGTAGGTCTCCCCATCTCCGCAGCCGCTTCGCTCCGCCTTCATCACCAGAAAGTAATGCTGACGAGGCACCTAATGCTGACGAGGCACCTACTGCTGACGTGGAAACAGGGCCTTGCCAGGCTGAGCGACCTGAAGATCGCTCCCTGAGTGTCGAGCTCTGCCCGACACTTGGGACAGCTGCCAAACCACACGCCGGAGGAGAGGAAGTCGATGTGGGCCCCACGTGCCCATTATTGGTTGCTGACGTGGCAACCAGAGAATGGTCCAGGGTGGCACAAAAAGCGGAAGCCAACTGGCACGACGACATGTCAGACCGCCACCGAAGTCCGATTCTCAAAATCGGATAAGGCTTGTGCACCACCCACCAACTTCGCTACTGGGGTAGTGCTCCACCCGGTCACGTCAGTCGGGTAGTTTCCTCCGGGTACCCCAGGCTCCACTGCCGAAGTAAGGTTCCTGTACCGATGGGCCTACGATAGCTCAATCGTTACACCTATGAAGTGTTGAAATGCAGACGCGCGTTCAAATCCAGATGGAAGTAGTCGACTGAATTTCTGAATTACCTTGGCCAGTCAGTTCAATGAAGACCAGTCAGTTTCAAAGAAGATATCTTCTTTTTTTTTATTTTTATTTTCCCCCTAAAGCACTAGTACCTTTGTCGGTTCGGAAAATAGTGGGCCTCCTACCTTTCAGGAGGCCAAAAAGAAACGATGGCCGCAGATCAGATTTATCAACGACAGCCGTTGTCGGGCCCGGCCTCCTAAAAGTTCGGGACTAGGCTAAGACTTGTCGAAACCGGACGGCAAAGGTACTAGTGGTCTAAAAGGCTGATCCCACTATGAACTTTTACCAAAAAAGTCGTAAAAGTCCCTTGGAAGTAGGAGAAGTGCCCAACGTTTCGTAGGGAAAAAGTGGGATCCCATAGCCCGGACTTCTTGGCGCTTTCCCGATTGCGTCGCCAAATTTCGATGGCCGTTGACGGGTCCAGCAGAGACACCCAGTCTCCCTTTGTGCAAAGAAAGACCGCGTTCACAAAACAAACAAAAAAAAAAAAACCCGAAAACTTGCCTACTGTTTGGGGGAATGGTAGGGGGTCACGGGCTCCCTACCTTTTCCTACCAACTTCCATGAGTAGAAACAGGCATTTTCTGTTGCACTGCCGTCGGACTGGGAAGTTGGGGAAACCATATGGGATCCCCTTTTTATCCAAAAAGCTCTGCTACTAATAACTGTGGGATCAGGTACTAAGGCCATGCGAACGCATGCCCCCTCTACCAGAAATAATGTCGTAGTAACACCACCGTGGCGTGATTTAGGGTTGGACTCCACGAAATAATGTCGTAGTAACACCACCGTGGCGTGATTTAGGGTTGGACTCCACTATCGTGCGCACAACGTCCGCACAACGATTTTTGAGAGTCCACATTCTTCTGCAGTAAGTGGCCAAACTCTTGAGAAACTAGATGGCAGATGTTTTGACTAAGTTCTGCACACCAGTTTCCATGCTCAATGGCCATCCTGAGGAAGTAGAGGGGGGGGGGGGAGGGCAGCATATCTTCCCATTGGCCATCCCGTGCGGCAAGAAGACCCAGGGATTGGATGGGGGCCGAGACAGGCAGAGCTCTACTTTCTGAATAGGGAAAGCTTTCCCTTTGGGGTAACCTGGAGAGACAAACCTGCCAGAAAATTTTGCTGCGGTCGGGTCTTGTTTTCTTTCTCCCACCGCCGGGGACTATGATTTCGGTGTGCGGACATTTTCCAAGCGCACGGCAGCTGCCATGCCGTGGAGTCTGTCCCTTAGGCCAGGCAAGTCCCGTAGTACAATGAGAGATCCTGCAACCTAGGCCATCCGCCTTCTTGCTCACAGATAACCCCTGACCAGGCTGTCACCCTTTTGAAAAAGGGTTCCTGCAAACATCTGGTCGAAGCACAGCCCACGTCTGCCTTATCATGGTCAGGGGTACTCATCTGCCAAGTATTCACTGTAGCTCGGAGTGGTGCAGGTCGTGGACGCCTGCTTCTGAAAACATCCGGCTATACCTTTTCCCGGCCTTTTGGCTATAAAATCAAGCCTAGTGTCTCAACTGATGAGTTTTGGCTAAGATCAAGTCTAGTTTCTGTTCTGTTCAGTTTAAGATCTTTTTCTGAAGGGAAATGTGCATTTGTACCCCTCTTAAACCAGTAGTACACGAACCCAGTCTTGCAGTCCGAAACTTGTCGCCACGAGACAATGGCCAAAACGTCAAATGTTGGGCCCACCATTGATAAATTGGATCGACGGTCGCATTTTCGTTTCGCGCTTCCAGAATTTGAGGTGTCAGGCCCGCGGCCCAGGTGCCCATGTACTGGTGCTTTAAAGATGGGAATACCGGCTATACCCAGTCCCAGCACCAACTTGCATCTATACCCGAAAATGGGCGGTGGAAATTATTTGCATGCCCAGGACCGAGGTGAACCCAGGTGGGTACTGAAAATTGCAGTTATAACCAACTACCAGAATGCACAAATTACGGATATACCCACATCAGAAAACATAAAATTTGACCCCCAAACCCTAATGTCAGTTTTGGACCCGTTAGTCAGGAGCTGAAAGTGGGGGTCCCCGTTAACCACTCGTGACCTGGGACTGAGGTGGACCCACCAAATTACTCATATAGTACATATACCCAACTACAAGATAGCTGAAATTATGCTGATACCCAGCAGCCGTTGGGCCACAACAGTTGACTTGGTGGGCATGACCATAATTTTGTGGTCTGCCATCTAAGGCCCGCCACTTGGTGTGGGTACACCCACAACTTTGCCAGCCCGATTTCTGGGCATGAGCATAATTTCGTGGTCTGGAAAAGAGTGTCTCTTGGACTGGGTGTGCCTACAATTTCGCACAGGGGAAAGGTTGAGTACTACGCAAAGTTGAATGGGGTCCGGTGTCGATGCAACTTGGCACTGTGACTAGGTATAGCGGGTATACCCATCTTTAAAACACCAGTACCATTCCTCGGTTGCGATCGGGGGCGTGGCGGTTAACACGGAGGCCCGATTCGGCCTCCGGCGCCGACCACATTCATCGGCCAACCTTGGCGTGCAGTGCCCTCGGTTGATATATGAGAAAGGTACTAGTGTGACACCCAACCTCACGCCCAGCGCGACTTCCTGATCGGAGTAGGATGGGGGCCTGGAAGTGCGAAAAAGGGGGTGTGCCAAGGATTTTAGGAAAGTGGGGGTGGAGTCCCAGGTCGGAAATGAGATCTCATGTGGCGGGTTTTAGGGACAATGGTGCAAAATGGGGCGCACGGATCGTACCCGGCGTTTCGGCCTTCGAGGCTGGGGCTATGGCCTCGGCCAGTTGCGTCGCCGTGGTCGGTCCCTTGTCTGGTGGATTGGTGGGACACTGTGGCTGTCGCGCTGTTGTCGGCGGCGCTCGTAACAAGCTTCGGAGTCCGACGGGGCGGGTCGTAGGCGAAGGCTGTGCAATCGCTGCTCAGCTTCGGTTCAAGTTCGTCGGGTATATCCCGAGGCCCGACGTGCTTGGTACTGCTGGCAGTCCTCGCACGGTGGGTTAGGCCAATAGCGAGCTATGGAATTCCATGGTACCACTGTGAGCTGGTGATAGGGAAGGAGGAGATGGAAGGGTGGGAAGTTGGTGATGATAATGACGAAGCCTGGGGATATATAGCATTGAGTATTATCCGTATCTGGGTAATCTGGGCCCCTAGGGTCGCGGGTTATAGCCCAGTGGAAATCCCCTGCGCACAAACGGTCGTTCCCTCTCAGACAGGGGAATTCCGAGTTTCTCAAGTTTCCCAGTCATCTGAGTTGTTCGCCTTCCCAGTACTCGCGATACTCCGGATCCCTCAGGTTTTCACAATCGGTGATCCAAAAGGGACTTCCTTCGGCCATATCTGGCTAATGAATGCGATTTCCCGCATCCTTACGATAAATTCGAGGTCGGCTCATGCAGACGCTCGTGTATGCTGCGACTCAGTTTCCTCGAGCTCACGGTTGTACGCGCGCGTGCGCATGAGCGAAAACGAATCGATCCGGCATCCGTCCCGAATGTAACTATCCTACTCGTGCTATGTTGGGTGAGATCCAAACTTCACATTCACATTCATGCCATTAAAAGGAGGGAAGGGAAAGGAGTCCAAAGGACGATCAACACCTCATAACATTCCTGGCGATCTGACGACGATCAGAGACTAACGATTGAATCTAATATCCATATCGGATGCTTTCCGTTAGATCTGAGAGTATTGTTCATACAGAGGGATAAGTAACGGGATTTGAATTAGACAGGCATTGCCAAAACAAGATTGGAAATCCGATAAGATCACTAACGCAAAAAAAGTTCACATCCATTCATACATACATACAAGGCAGAGGCGACAAAGCAAACTCGAGACGATTTACAATGAAAGATTCAAAAAGGCCGCGACAAAAATTGACCATAGCGGGAGGCAAAATTGTACAGACAAGCAAAAGAAAGAACCTCATCCCGCACCCACAACTGCCTTCTCTCTCTCTCTCTCCCTCTCTCTTTCTCCGCTCTACACCCCCAATACCGGGAGTCCGTCGCCGCGTATCAACACAGAGTTGTCACCCCTCTTGGCTCGAGCATGCAAGCCAGGTTCGCCTGTGCGCCACAGTCCGTCACGGCCCCGCACGTCAACCCCGCATACCCGACACCAGCTCGTCGGATCGCCCAACTCACGCACTCACTTACCTTCTAAACTTGCTCGTTAGCCGACCCTCACTGATCGTGCTAACCTCGAAATTCTTAGAGAGCAAACTAATCGCGCTTGCGGAATTTATAGCGTGCACGCTTGCGCGAAGGATACGAGATTAAACCCAAGTGGTGAGAGGAAGTGCCTACATCTGCATGTCTGGGCCGCGGCGCAGGGGACAGAGTCACTCTCCGCGCATCGATCCGGGCATGCAGGCATAGAAACCAATCAGGTTGGGGAAGAAGGTGTGCAGGCGCGGATGAGCATAAGGCGGGAAGAGGGAAGAACACGAAGGACGCCAAGAACACGAAGGACGCCAAGAACACGAAGGACGCCAAGAACAAGAAGATTATAGTTGCAATCACACCCGCCAAAGCTTTTACAGTTACGTGCAAGATTAAGGCGCAAAAAGAAGTCAGAACCCTGATCTTGTCACGGCAAGGCGTGCGTAAGCAGGAAGCGCCGCGCAGCAAAATTCAGAAGGTGCCTAAATTTCTAGCTTAAGTCCTAATTGCAAAGGAAAATTATGAATAGAAAAACAATTCCGAGAGCCCGTGGGGGCTCAACATCAGTTGAAATTTGAAAAGAAAACGACATTCCCGCACGTTGATCGCAGCAAAATTCCCAATGCTCCCAGTATAACAAGAAAAAAGCTATGGTACAGTTATTTCTTG